GACATCTCCATGCTGAAGAGCTGTCGCTTCAAGTAGATGCGACCAGCCTTCTGCGATCCTCCGTACAGCGTCTTAAAGGCGTCCACACGGTCCACGCTTCCTTACAGTTGTCGACCACATAATGGTAGTCCGCGTCTATGTGCAGCAGCATCAGGCCGAACGCGATGTTGCTCGACTCGACATACTCGTCCCTGGCGTGAGAGTCCGTAAGGGTTGGGGGTTGTCTTCCGGTTCACGACATGCCACACCGACTTGGTTAGGAACACACCACGCATGTAGCGGTTATTCAACCCAAATACAGACACCATCCGTCAACGAATTTTGTCCTAGAAAAAAGGGCTGAACTTCGTTTACCGGTAATTACATGCAGTTTGCCCGATTTTACCCTTAGAACAAGCTTAATGAACAAAAAAAACTTGGAGTTTGTAAAGAGGTTCCGCTTAAGTGCGATACATGAATATATACTCCCTCCGTTTCAGTTTACTTGACTAAAACAGAGATGAAGCTGTTTCACATTTCTTGACCAGTAAAAATGATTGGTGGAATTTGACAGACTTGTATGCCATTGGCTGAAACCCTCCAATCAGAATCTCTTAGATTTGAGGTTTTTTGCATCCAGCCTAAGGTTTTACACATCTTAGAGAATTAGTCTACTTGGTCTACAGATTTACGCGCGACACAAGGCGCCATTTCGAAATGGCAGGAAGCCAACAACAAACAAACAAGGATCTGACACCTGAAACGAAGCTCGGCATAGCAACCTACTTACTAGAGCACTCAGTCGACTTAAACGTACCGCGCAGTCACATTATTGAAGCCGCTGAACGGTTCAAATGTAGCCACAGTTCCGCGGACCGTGTCTGGAGGATGACTGTTATTCACCGCAAAAACAGCAGCGGTTTTCCAAGCTTTAAGAGCAAGCGAGCAGGAAGATGCGGAAAACCAAAGAAGCTGACAGATATAGCCGAAAAAATAACGTCTTTACCGTGGCGGAAGCGCCGAACTATTCGATCCATTGCTAAGGCTATAAAGGTGTCACCTGCGTCAGTTTACCGATCGGTAGCTTCTGGAGAAATCGTCAGACACACAAATTCAATCAAGCCTCACCTCACCGAAACGAACAAGGCTTCAAGGTATGACCTATTATCAAATATTGTGACTCATTAAACGTTGAATTTAACGCCGTTATGTACAGGCTTGAATATTGCTTGTCGTTTGTCAATACAGAGTCCTATGAGTTTCACGATTTTGCCAACCGCATATTCATTGATGAGAAATGGTTCTATATGACGGAGGCAGACAGAAGTATTTATCTGGCACCTGGGGAGGCGCCGCCACATCGTACTGTCCAGTCAAAGCGGTTCATCACTAAGATGATGTTCATGGCAGCGGTGATGCGTCCAGTGTTCGCAGAGGATGGTTCTCTCATCTTTGATGGAATGTGGCCATTTACAGAGCGTGTACCAGCTAAGAAGAGCTCGAGGAACCAACCAGCTGGTACGCTAATAACGAAGGCAGTGAATGTTGGCCGCAGGGAACAGCGTGCGATGCTGATATATAATGTGATTCCCGCGATTAAGATGAAGTGTCCAGCCTTTCTAAAAGGCGTCCCATTGATTATTCAGCAAGATGGTGCTCGTTGCCATGTCGAGCCCAATGATCCAGCGATACTGGCAGCGTGTAGAGCTGATGGGTGGGATATATGCATCGAGATGCAGCCTTCAAATAGCCCGGATACAAATATTCTTGATTTGGGTTACTTCCGCTCGATTCAAGCTCTGCAGTACGAAGAAAGCCCAAACAGCATCGACGAGTTGATTGAATGCACCATCGCATCATATCAAAATCTCCAACCTGAGACGCTTGAAGACACGTTTGTATCATTACAGAAGGTAATGGAGTGTATTATACAAGATCTTGGCAACAACAGCTACAAGCGGCCTCATATCGGTAAGAGCAAACTCCGAAAGGCGGGTTTGTTGCTGAAGAACTACAAGTGCGACTTGTCGATTTATTTGGTAGGTGCGGCATATCATTTTGTAGCCAGTCAACAGAAAGTAGAGAAGGAGAATCTGTTGAGATTGCAGATAGAAGCCTTTAGATTTTTAACGGTCTAATGACTAGTATTCTTGTGTGGTTGCTTAAGTGGGCTTTGGGCACGTAGCTCAGTTGGTTTAGAGCACCGCCAATGTTGCGGAAGGACGCGGGTTCGAGTCCCGCCGTGTCCTTAATTTTTTAGCAAATAAAGCTGAAGATTTAAAAACCATTGAAACCCTAATTGCTTATTTAATTATGACCCCGAACACTCACTTGATGTTTGTATGGAGGGTCATCATTTTTGCATATAACAACATCATTTTAGGCTTAAAACCTCTGAATAGAGCATAAATGCATGCGTTAGCCAGTGCTGATTATTTGAATGTGCGCTTTGTAAGGGGTATCAAGCAAACTTTTTATAATACGCATCATTTCCCGAATCTGGTCAAGTAAACTGAAACGGAGGGAGTAATAGAAATTCCTTCCTAAGTAAAGTCCCACATAATAACCTCAAGTTTGTTAAGATGGGTTGTTTTCCTAGAGTCAAGGACAAGACACACACACACATACTTTGTTATTGAAGACAAACTTCACAATACGTTTTCGCCGTGTTGGACTATAGCAGACACAAAACAATATACCTCGTATAGAACGCTTTAACTAGTATATGACTATGGAAGTAAGTCCTGGTAACTCTCGATAATCATGCCAAACCAAGGCGCTAGCTTTTGGTCCTATTTTTGTCCTTAATTTCAAGGCGTTTGGGTTAATAGAGCCTTGAGATAGCAGCGTTATTAATACTAATACTACTGTAGTATTTGCCACAACCATAAGATCCTTCATGAGTTCTGGACGTAACACGAATAACAAATCATCTCATCAAGCCATGTTTAGGTTCTGTCGTTGATTGAATCTAGGACAAAATACCAACTTATTAATGCCGAGGTACCCTTGACATGTGAATTCACTGTACTTTTCCATTAATACATGTTAGTGTTGCAAGTGATCTCTTTCAATGCACCATCCTGTAGTGTTGCGAGTGCATTCCCAGGAGTGCCTTCAAGATCAAGTACAAAATCTCATAGCTCAAATGTCGTGGTAGGATCAGCGGATCAGCAGCAAATTCACCAGCCACGAGGAGAAAGTAATGGAGTAGATTATTGCCACTAAGTTAAAAAAAACCAGCTTTAAATCCAGATCTCGGGAATTTTCTTCGGCTTCTTTCCGTTCAGGAAGTAGGAACTCCACGCCTGAAAGAACGGAGAGTTTCGGTGTGTCGTGTCTGCGGCACTCCTCAGTCCCAACTTCTTGGCAAAATATTCAAGCGTCCGAGATTGGCTATACAAAATGTCCACGATTTTCTCTTGTTGCTTGGGATTCAGCTTCGCAATGTTCACAGCAATGGGAGTATTGCGTTCCTTGACTATCTTCATCAGGTTCTTGGAGAGCACTCCACCTCGTCGCTCTTCAGTGTCATCGAGGGAGTCGACCGTGTCTTCCTCCTCTTTGATATACTTGCTCGAGCGCAGGGAGCGCTTCACGCTGACGTCAATCTGGGTGGCAGCAACGATTTCCGAGGTCGACTGCGAGATCTGGTTGTGCTGTGCATCAGTAGAGACAGCGTTGGTGCTGGCGAGGAGCGTGGCGGTAACAGCGAAGACGATGTAATAGAAGCGCATTGCTTGAAGAAGTTGAAGATTTTGAGGGTTGATGCAGCTGGAGTGCAAAATGCAAACTGAAGGTCAGTGCTGCGAGTCGCAACTTGTGACGAACTGGTGGTAGCCCCGTTCGCTTTTCTAATGCTTAGAGTGACAGGTTGTGTGGTCGCCAATAGACTGGAGGGATTTGATTGACGATGCAGTGATATGGTTTCTTGGGATATGGACCATATCATATGGTAGGTCCAATGAAATCATACGGATATTCGAACTGTATGTCATTCATACACATAAACATCACCTGGAGGTATTTTATCCTTACTATATATATTTATACTGTACATTACTTTCTCTGGAATCGCTGGGGTTGGCTAGTACTGGCCTGTTGTAATTTACAAATGTACATGTAGGACGAGGCATGTATTACGGTTGAGAGAATCTGCAGTCGTACTGACTCAATATTGTACGAATACGATCAAAGCGTCGACGGGAAATGCTGTTCTTTATACTGTATGTACCACGAAATTAGACCAGCCTGGTCTACAGTAATTTCTGGTCGCCATGTGCGAATGTAAGTTACTCACACTGGGACTCCCAGCGGTAGTCACACTTTTATTAATACCAAGTAACTGCCGTTATTAATATAGCACCTTTACTTTAAGAACAACGTCACGATATAAGCGTACAGCACCTTTAACTCGTGTTTAGCGCCTTAAAGCGCCTTTATTCACTCAATACCCCAAGAGCACATCATGTATTGTGACTTTCTACCAAAAACGCCCTCAGATTTATGGTCCTACGTAAGACCGTTGCCCCTACGTAAAACCTACGCTGGGGGGCGAGTACAAGGCTGGTCTGGAACATAAAACGGCAGAGATATCACAAATGATAGTAGCATTACGCTACTATTAACGTTAAAGCACCGTATTTAGACTTCCATGCTTAATTCTGAAGCAATACCCTCTATCTCTGCTTCCATCGCATCTCTTGCTGTAGTTGTCTTCGATGCAGAGTGATTCCAAGTTAGCTAGACATCGCGTTGTGAATACCGACTGTGGTTTCAAAGCCAGATCTAATTATTTATGCACCCTCTCATGTCGTCCTCCACCGGAGGGCGTACGTAGGAGGAAATGGCCAGGAAATTATGGCCATGCGGACCTTATTTCTAAATCGGCCCTCTTACGTAAGATAGGAGTTCTCACGTAGGACTTGATGCCAACGATTTGAATCATTACAACCCACCACAGCAAATCCTATATAGAGCCCTACCCCCCGCTTCTTAGGACTTTCCGTTTGAGGTCCGATTGGCCAAAGTTTGAGAAAGGCACAATATAGACCACATGAGGGTGAATGACCTCCTCACCTAGATCCTTTCGAATCGTGTCTTATCAGGGTGGGCCTCCGGGAACGGGCTCAAGCGAAGTGATTAGGTACCTTCTTCCACGTCTTTTTCTTAGCGCATCAAATAGTGTAATCCTTCGAACTAGGCAGAACAAGTTGTTTGGAAATGCGCATGTCCCCAAATAAGGAAGAGCTGAAATTAGCTCCCGTTTTGGACTTTAACTTGGGGAGGGGAATATCGGCGCTTTTGCCTCAGCAACGTGCAGTAACGACTCTCAATATGTACGATGAATAATAATACCCAATCAGCTGAGCTGCGGCACAAACTCCATTGCGACAGTTGACAGTTCTCTATACCTGTACATAGCATGTACTACGCATCAGTACCTGGTGTTAACCCTTTAATGCTGCCCTAATTGTGCATTAAGTAAACAAAGAAGAGCAAAAATGCAAGACATTACAGTCCCGTAAAAAAAAAAACCGGCATTACAATCAAGCATTTGCGATTGAGAGAAAGATGTGTGCGTATGGTTTGGTTGTTTAGAAATCGTCTATTTATGTTGAATTATCTAAAGAGATCTGCAGATTCTGTAGGCTACGCCTAATAGAAGCGTCGTCTGGTGGCCATCTTGGGCTAGTTGTTCTCAAACAGCGTTGTCGTAGATATTGTTGTGGTATAACCGGGATATACTATATGTGTGTGTGGTTTATTTAGTTGCTACTGATACATTTATTTTCGACGCGGTTTGCAAGTTCATGCGTTCTCGACGGTATTACTAACATGCAGCATGCAGCATGCTGATTGCTCTTCGATTATGGACCTTTTGATGCAGCGGTCAAATCCTTGAGTAGATCATTCTGTTTCTTACATGCTGTAGAATTTTTCTCCGACGACGCTGCATCGAGCCTATAACACGAGGTGACGTTTCATCTGCAGCAGATGGAACGTCACCACAGATGGAACTTCACCCCGTTTTATGGGTTCGATCCAGCGTGGTCGGAGAAAAAAGTGAGATGGAAAGCTACAGTTCACATCTGTGATGATTTGCGTTTTCAAAACAGCAAGTATGGCCTATTAGGGAAATTCTATGGAGATCGAGGTGTGAAAATTGGGCGAATAGTCACGCCCAAAATACATTTCACCACAAATTTTGTCATGCCAATTAGTATACCGTACACTATCGAATTCAATACCAATTGAAAACAAAAAGGTATACTAGCCGGAGTAGGTATACTACCAAATCGCTACACCGAGTCCCAAATTGGACTCATCAAGATTCTCCATATCAGTATTGTGGGACCATTTAAGGCGGAGCAGAAAGCCGGCATTAAATGGCGGCTGAAATGGAAGCCCAGTTATCAAAAACTTCAGGCCGGAAAAAAGGGAAATGACTAATTTATGATCCCCTACCTAAGCACCCTTAGAGCTAAGTTTGGAGTCGTTTCTGATAGACCCCTTTTCACTTCGGAAATCTGTGCAGCTGATACTATCTGTTGTGGATGTGGTTAGCCACTTTGGCTGGAGGCTCTATGTTTTTAATTCAGGTGGCAACTTCCTCCTTTTTCTGCTACTAGCCGAGCGCCGCCACTACGCGGTGGTAATTAATGTTTGGTCGGACTTGTTAATGTCTTTCCCGCCTCCGCTTCGCTTCGGAGGGATTATACCTTTTTTAACCCTTATAATCTAACTATTTCACCGACTAGAAGGGTTAAAAAAAATATTGACCCTGTCTCCCACTCTAACGACTGGTAATAAAATGACTGCAGAGCGAGAAATTGTTATTCGTCCACCAGTACAGGTTTCTATTCCAGTATAATTGCATCGATAGACCTACTTTGCTATTATCGTGGATTAAATTAAATATTTCTTATTCCTGGAGACGGAGTTATTTCCTTACGATTGCATCTCGTTGGTCCATTCGCCACAATTAGTAACCCTGCAGTGCTTAGATGCCTCCTCTCAAAACTGCTTGGCCTTTTTGGGCAATATTTAATAGTGATCCGGGCATGATTCCGTGAAATCCGTTAAAATAAATGCCCTTCTCTACTACAAAATCCTGAACACTTTAAAACAATCCCCTCAAGTTGAACTGTATAATGCATCGACACAGTGCATTGCCCTATTAAAGACAGGTCACTTTAATTTCTACACTACGTCAAAAAGAGCAACATAGTTTTTTTTTAAGCTTAAGTAGATCTTATTTTTTGCATGTTCATCGGAAACTGTAACTCTACGCTGTCGTGGGTTAACATGTTTTGTTCTAACGACTCGAGATCATCGATTTTTTTTATTGGGATAGATGCTTACCAACGAAAAGATAGTGCAATTTGTTCTATCCTGATTCTTTCCCATTCCAAAATCAAAATATTGCATTCGACGGTGTCCGCGTTCGGTATAGCGAATATATCTGCACTATGCGCAGTTACAGCAGGGAAGTGGGCATAAGTTGGGCTCCACGATTACAATGGTGTGTGCTCTTCTCTTCGAACGCTCCAAGCATGTCACTTAGTGAGTCTTAGCCAGTCTTAAGTTGTGCGAAGTATTCGCCGATGCATTCACGATAGAGCACTCTGGTAGTATACAGCAACGGAAAAGTCGCGATTTGTGCAGCTTTATCATTTTTTAGCCCTGACATGTCTTAAATACTAGCTTTTGGGGTAAGGCCTTGGGTTTTAAAATGAATACATGCATTTTCACTCTAGCAACGTAACTTACGGCTTACCTTACGTAATCCACGCTTTCCTCCCCATTGGAATTGTGACAATACGAGGCACAATTAGTTTTTACAGCATAACACCATAGAAATAGAATAGAAGGCCGCTCATCTTCATCATCGATAGCGAGAAGTTTCAATACGTGCTAACAAGTTGTTTTAACAGCGTCTTCTAACTCAGAGATTCCAGCCTTAAAACCTATTTAGTTTTGAGTGTTTTAATCCTCATTTTTATTTCTGTGCATTTTCTCGAAAAACTAAAAAAAAATTGGTCTGGACTTATACTCCACGGCCAATTGCCCATGGTTCCCTCGCCGTGGAGTACAAGTCAAATGCAACTAACGTGACCTGCTCACTACGACCCATCCACTGGATAGGTACGGCGTCGAAAGGTTTCGAGTTGGTATTGACTAACCGGTTCACAGAGAGCTAACTGTGGTTGACAAGAGCGAATACCAATTATGCCTCTTCATCGCGGCTGTCCCGTAGTGATAATGATCCACAACTGCGGGACTCCCGCCGCAAGGTATCCACAATCGGTGTTTTCAAGATAACCCAAGTCGGTGTGGCAACTTTGCATAGCTCCTTTTCAAAATGCTAAACGTGCCGTGTTCGTTCCTTGGTCGATGTGACGGGTGAATAGAAGAAAAAAGATCACCTTAGATCAATAGTAACCAATGCATACCAGATCAATTATTATCGTACAGGGGGATACATTTACCATACCATCGGTGGTTCATCATGATCACTTCAAATTCCACGACACTCTCCCATTTTGTCTCTATTAAACACCGCAATACAGCAACTCTTCCGCTTGGTGATAAGTTTGCCGTTGGAAGCATGCTTGAGGTCACTATTGGCGAGCATATTCGTTCATAATTGCATGTACCTTTGTCCCATTCTATCCTACCCTACGTATTTAAAACGTGTATTCTTGTATTTGACAACCTTCTCCCAATAGCGATACTTCGAAGTACCTGAGAGCGACATACACCTTGTCGACTTTAATTCGCGGTAATGGGAATCGCTTAGTGAGATTTAATTCTAACCAACAACCGCTTATGGTCGATCCCTAATCCGATACCTCAGTTCCAGCATGGGTGCTGAGGAGGAGGAGGAAAGTGGTGGTGACACAATAAAACGGAATGTAGACGTATGTCTGCCCTTGGAATACCGTCAGAGTTAGTATTGGTCTGCTGAAAAGCAGATTGTGCAGTGAGTGGGTGCTACTGTCGTTGTCAACCGACAATTTGACTGAAGTACAGCCGATAATTTATTGTATGCCCTTTTTTACTTAAAAGTTTTACATTTCTGTCCAAGTCTAATTAATATCGGGTTTTTAAGCCAATTTAAAAACTGAACAAATTTGCACTTTATCGGCTCCATTATTGGCGTACTCGTGGCAAATGCAAGGCGGGCTATGGTGAACCTCAACACGAACGAGAACAAGTGTTATAGCTAGTGGCCACGGATAGAGGTTCCGAAAGATACGAGTAAATACTTTTATCTTAATTGATAAACTCCCAAACGTTGTCAAAATACCTCATTTAACTTCATTTGAGGTACTTTTGCGATGTAACACCTCATTTGGAATGTACAATACCTCAATTTATCGCAACATTTGTTACAGTCATTCTGGTCCAGTGCAATCCAAGCGTCGTCGAGCGTCATGCAGAGCAGCCCCCAGACGGCTTGGCGCGCAGCGGCAGGTGCGTACGCCACCCCATCGTGACCGCCCGTTGTCTGCGCTCTACAACGTCGTGTCGTTGGACTTGCAACTCGTCATAGAAAGCACCCAATCAATGTGTTTATAAACATTTCCGCGATATGGTAAACAAACTTGATAATTGTGTTTTTATTGCTGGGCCGCAGAGAAACTCGCGTCCGCCGACTTCCTCCTGGTTGCAACAGGCGCGGGCTTTTCCGCCGACTCCTCTCTTCCAGTTTACGCGTATGTAAACATTTGAACGCCTTGTTACAATTAGTGTACAGCATTGTAACTTTGTGCTTTACACACCAGAGATATCGCCAATGTCGACGCCTACGAGAAGATGGACTTGGAGTACCAGGACCTATGCGACCCGTACATGTTGGAGCAGGACGAGGAGCTTTTTTACGGCTTCTGGGGCAGTTGTACCAATTCCTACCGGGACACTAAGCACCACAAGGGATACCAAATTTTACTCAAGTGGAGACACACACTTCGAGTCAAGGCCAGCGTCAACGGCACAGACGGGACTAAATCTCGTTTTCAAGCTGCTTTTGATCGACTCAAAAAGTGTCAAGCTCTTCCAGCGGGGGTGACGGTGGATTCCGTGACGAACGATCCATTCTTCGTTTACACTTCAAATGTTCGATTTTGTTTGTCGTGGTTTAATTTTTAGGATTTGTGACGGTTTTATTATTGTGTTTTGTAGGTTGATTCGCACTTTAAGCGCGACTTTGACAGTAAAGAAGTGTATGAGCTACACGGGAATGTCGAGAACTGGCAGTGTGCGGGAGATGTCGAAACTGGCGCGAGAGAACCATGTGACAAGATCTGGAAGTTGCCAAAATATTTCCGGTTTAATCTGGACGCAGAGACGATGAAAGCGCCTGGTGCTGAAGCCACGACATGTCCAGAGTGTGGAGGCAAAGGCCGGCCGAATGTTCTGATGTTCCACGACAGACAGTGGATCGCAAACAAGTCGGAAGAGGTGCGTAAAGTGAAAGTTACAATCACTATCTTGTCTAATGCTGTGTGCGTTTTAGAACGGATACATCGCATGGGAATCTGTAATGGAACTGGTATGCCATGGGTAGATTGAATACTGTCAGCTTTTGTCATCTTATCTTAACTATGTTTCGTGCCATTTTCCTACAGATGCTACAAGAAGACCCAACTCTCAACCTGGTCGTACTGGAAATTGGCTGTGGAACGCGGGTTCGTACCATTACGGACGAGACTACATTGTCTGGTATTGAGGAGTACTAATACCATTTCTGTTAGGTGCCATCTGTTCGAAGAGAGACCGAGATGGTTGTTGCCGATGTCATTGAGAGCTGCGGTCGTCCCCAGGCAACACTCATTCGAGTCAACCTCGACATTCCTACGTGCGACAACCCGCTCATTGTAGTCAACAGCGGATTCCTTCCGATCCAATCGAAAGGCTTGGAGGCGTTAGAAGGCATCGATCAAGAACTCAACAATATTCGACAAAAAGCCTAATGTGTAGGGCTGAGCCGAATTCGAGAAGTACACAGGTTTTGATACGTTTATATTGCTACGGGGTTATTGGCATCGAGGTTGAACTCGAAGCCCTTGAACTTGTCCTGGTCTTCGGCCGATATTCGCTCGCCACGAGAGTTTAAACTCAGTACGTCATCGAAGTCTTGAGCTGCTGTATCACAATTGGCTTTCTTCTCATCGACGACAGGGACAAAGGGTGGAGTGAGAATATGTGCGAGATATCCGTCCCAGTCAAAGTTTCGTAACCATTCATGCGTTTTAATCTCTAGTATACCATCAAACCCAGCACCCAAACGCTCGGACTCTTTCGGATGTAGTAACCCTCGCAGAAACGATCGACAAGTTTGTGACACCTTAGCGTTGATACCAGTCGTGCTATCCAGGAGTTCGATCGGATAATATTTGTCATATACACTCTCAGGGAAATCCTTCATCACGTCTGGACATTTCTCGAGATGTGAGCGAACCCCACCACTCCAAGGGCGTCTTCCGAAGAGCAATTCATATGTTAACACTCCCAAACTGAAGAAATCTGAAGGTGTTCCATGCTCGGTAGAACCTCGGAAGATCTCTGGAGCCATGTATGCCACTGTCCCGCTCCGACTTTGGAATCGTAAGTTGGCTGTCTGTACTGAGATGCCCAGATCGGTGAGGCGAGGGTAGCCTTTATCATCGAGAATAACATTTTCTGGCTTGACATCGCGATGCAGAATTTTAAGAGAATGGAGATACTCCAGCGACAATAGTATTCCAGCTGTATAGAACTTTGCTTCTGTTTCTTGGAAACCATCTTTGCGTGATCTGAGATGGTACTTAAGATCTCCACCAAGTAGTAGATCCATGATGACGTAGCAGTTGTACGGGTCCTGAAACGTGTGATGCATTCGCACGATCAATGGGCTTTGGATTTGAGTGAGCAGATTGCGCTCGTTCCAGATCATACTGACGCAATTTCTATTGATCACTGCTGCCTTGGACAGAGTCTTCATCGCGAGCCACTTGACTGGGGTCGCTTTCTTGCGAATGACTGCATTGACTTTACCAAAGCCACCCTGGCCGACAATCCGATGGATCTCAAAGTGCTTAATAGAAATCACCTTTGGATCGTACGGCGCGTTGTCATCACCGAAAGAACTGCAGCCAGAGCCCATCGTGCCGCAGCTTCAAAACCACTCCATCACTAATGATAATACTGCGCCAAAAATATAAAAGCAGCCAACTCTCTTTTCACACTCATCGCATTCTAAAGTGGGAATTAATTCGTGACACCAATTTTGGCTTTCCATTCGGCTACCAGCGCAACTTCCTCGTCCTGTAAAACCGCATCAACAAACTATAATCACATAAATATTGGGAAAAAATAAAGAGGCACTCACCACTGAGATGGACACCTCATTTTGCAAGACCAAGTTAAACATCTCCTCAGTGAGATTCTCGTATACGACGCTGTCTCCTGCCACTATGAGACCGGAGAGTTCAGCCACAGCGATACGGAGTCGGCCAGCGTGATCCGTGGTTGTGTCGACGGGGAATAATCCAACTCCATTCTCGCATTGTGGCTGGCGAGGGAAGATAAAGACCACGGTGCCGACGATAATGAGATTGTGTGGGATTCCTCGAGCCTGAAGAAGGTCCAACAGAGCCCAAGCGATCTCAACGACGTGAACAGCGTCCCTGGTAGCGTCTTCAGGCTCAATGGCATAGCAGGCTGTCTTCCAACTTAGAAGGTGTTTCACAATTGCGCCGTCAACACGGAATATTTCTTCTCTATGCTGAGCTGCAACAGGAAAATTCATGCCTAGAGCACCTTCAGTCTGCGGGAAGAAATACCCTTGGAGGTGAAAGTGGTTCACGGACGACCACGCTCCAGCACTATTAAACCCTGTTGTACACCTTGGCTTAGTGAACTGATTCTTAGTAGTGGCACCGGAGGTGGCACGTACCCAGAGCGAAGTCCTCACGCTGCATTTCATGTGAGATGCTGAGAGCGTACAGCAAGAAAGTTTTCGTCATTTTCTGCGGTTTAACGCGATTTAATTCAAGGACGAACAGCACGTGGCCGCGAACCTGTAGTTACAAAAGGAAGCAACCGCAGCGTTAAGCATGGGTCCATACTTCATCATAGAAAGAATTATTCCGTACTAAGGGAGCCACATTGACAAGAACGAAGTGCTCCACCTCATCTGTACCAGCTTCGTCCCTACTTCCGAACTCTGTAGGTTGCACAGACGGAAGATGTTGGTCGTCATCAGCCTCAGTACTTAATCCAGCGAGGAACTCGGAGCGCCTGGACATCAGAATTAGTAAGTAAAGTACAAGTCCACAATATACAAAAACTAACGGACTTACTTGGCTTTCGTAAAGTTAAACCCCGATGATTTTGGCTTGGCAGGAGCTTCATCTTGAGGAGACTTCAGTAGCTGCTTGTCCACTGGACGCTTATTCTGCGTAATTCCAAAACTCGACCTTTACTTCTCGTTAACAACTTGGAACTCTAGCCGTCCTGCTCACCTTGATATGACTCGGATTGAATTGAATGACAAGTCCCAAGTCACCATGGATTCGACGACGCATTGTGGAGTCCACACTTGTACGCATAACGCCTAGTTAAAACACACCCCAAGACCCGCTTCGTTCGTGCTTGCGATCTCTTTACCATTCAGCCAGTAGCAGACGTACCAGCAGACTCTGCGAGGTCCCACCGACGCAGAACCAGCTCGCTCAAGCTCGTCGATGCCATTGCTGCCGACTCTTCCCGCTAATTACATCAATTGGACGGTCCACGTTCAATCACCTTGGCTATTGTAAGATACAATTTGTGTCCACGCGTTTCGTCATTTGAAGCTTGTCCTTGTAAACGTACCACAGCGCTTTCTACGTAAGCATATTAAACGGGGAGAGATTCATGCAATTATAACTTACTAACTGGCAAGGTTAAACACGAGAAAACAAGAAAGGTTCTTCAGCCAACTTTTTGCTGGGAAAGGAGATGGAACTTGGGTCCTCAACCCTCGCGTTTGTAGCAGAGACTTTTTTCATGTCAATGTAAACGAGTGCGAGTCATGCCTTAGGCCTTCGACGAGCAGTAGTGAATGCTGTTTGGTGCACAGACAGCTAAGACTTATCCGAAGTGGATATCGAGCACTTGTTTTAATGGAGATTGCACTTGATCCAAAGCAGCCTTGCACTTAATCGTGTTCCTGCTCCACTTTCTTCGTCACCCCAGCGCCGTCGTTCACTGTACTAGCGCGGATGGGAAGTGGAGATAAGTCCAGCCTCTGTAGTTTCTTGCCAGTATATCGGGCTCGGGCCGTCTAACACAAATAGTTACGTTTTAGCGTACTTATTAGGTGTGGCAAAACGTGAGTCCCTGATTGAAAAATCGAGTCCCCGATTGGAATTTTCCCTAAACGGATTCCCACCATTCAACTATGCAAACCTTCCGTCTACAGCTTAGCGGGACCCACACCAGTCTCCATGGTGTACACTTGACCGCCGTCCGAAGCAATCACCATACCAGTGATCCATCCAGACGCCTTGGACGACAGGAAAATGGCAAGTCCAGCCATGTCCGAGTCCAGACCGAACCTCTGAATAGGAATACCCGTAGCAAGGTCATCCATACCGAGGCCAGTAACCACCGAGATGCCCTTGGACATCTTGGACGGCACGAGGCCAGGAGCAATGGCGTTCACGAGGATGTGGCCGCCATTAGGACGACGCGCCAGCTTGGCAGCCAGCACGCGAGTCATGTGGTGGATAGCGGCCTTGGACGTGTCGTAAGCGATAGTATCGATCTGCTGGGGCATGAGGCCTGCCACCGATCCAACGTTGATGACGCGAGCTGCATCAGACGTCGTGGCCGCCTTGTCCAGCAAAGGCAGCAGGAACTTGGTCAAGTGGAAGGGCGACGTCACGTTGACCGTCAGTACCTTGTTCCAGGCCGATTCCGGGTGGTGATCGAAGTCTCCGCCCCACGAGACGCCCGAATTGTTGATGAGCACGTCCACTTTGCTCTCCTTCTGGGCGATCTGCTCTGCCAGCTCCTTGCAACCAGCTTCACTCAGCAGATTCGCTTGTAGCTGTTTGTTAGATAACAGAGTTAGCTATCATATATTTCGATTTGAATCGGTTACTGTTCATTACCGGGATGCATTTGCCAGGCCCCTTGACGTTGAGCTCCTTGGCGGTGGCTTCACATGCCTCGAGACGGCGGGAGGCGATGTAGACTTTGGCTCCGTTCTGCACGAAGCCGTCGGCCATCATCTTGCCGATACCGCGACCGCCGCCCGTGATGACGACGACTTTGTCCTTGACGTCGAAGAGGTTGTTCAGGTTCAGAGCGCTCATTGCTGCGGAGACTTGGACGTAGGCACGAGGAGGAAGGGTTGGATTGTGAGGCTTAACGTCGAAGAGCTTTTGAGTTCGTCATGTAAACAATCAGCTTCAATTTAGGGTTGACAACACTAGATTAGTGTGGTGCCCATAAAACCGCTGTTTTATATCAATTTCTGTTTTATCCGAGTTTTGACACATTATCGTGGTAAAATGCCATATGACAATCTATAGCTTGGATGGACCCACCCCGGTCTCTGCAGCGCCAACCATGCCGCCATCGGTCGTGATAACTTGGCCAGAGATCCATCCTGACGCCTTGGAGGCCAAGAAAATGGCCAGACCTGCCATGTCCGGGGCCTCGCCCATTCGTCCGACTGGGATTTCTTGGCCAATATCTTCGAAACGCTTCCCTGTCACGTACGCGACGCCCTCAGTCAGCCTCGACGGGACATATCCCGGCGTAATGGCGTTGACAAGAATATGTCCGCCATTTGGACGACGAGCGAGCTTAGCGGCCAGAATGCGGGTCAGATGATGCAGCGCCGCCTTGGACGAATCGTACACCATCGTGTTGAGCTTTTGCGGCATGAGTCCTCCCACTGATCCAACATTGATGACACGTGCAGCGTCGGATGACGTAGCAGCCGCGTCGAGAAGAGGAAGTAAGAACCGCGTTAGCAGATACGCCGACGTCACATTCAGAGCGAAAGTTTCTCCCCAAACTGCAAATATTCACAACAAAGGTATCAGTAACTTGAAAATCAGAACAAGACTCGTGATTTAAACTCAGACCGGATGCTGGGGTGTTTTCAACGGGAGTGACGGATCCATCACCCGAGTTATTGACGAGCACGTCGAGTCGTGACTCCCTCTTGATTATTTCGGCCGCGAACGCCTTGCACTCGTCTTCGCTCGTCAGATCCACTTTCAACTGGACATTCAACGATATTTAGTCTCTGCATATTGGGCCCATTGTTGGGGCCACTTACAGCGATGCAAATGCCGGGGCCCTTGGCGTTGAGCTCCTTCGCAGCGGCTTGGCACGCCTCGAGTTTGCGTGACGCAATGTACACTTTTGCACCGTTCTGCACGAATCCATCCGCGATCATTTTGCCGATGCCGCGGCCGCCTCCCGTCACGATCACCACCTTGTCTTTGACATTGAAGAGCTCGGCTGCGTTCAAGGAGCTCATAGTTTCGTCGGTCTTGATCAGGGGGCAAATTGCGATATCCGTCTCTAGGGACAGACGGATATTCCGCTATGTGATTGGACAAATGCACAAAACATTGAACTAGTCGAAACAAAAGTAGTCTGCGGCTTTAAGGTTTGTGACCACCTCTTTCTTTCTTCTTCAAGAGAAGCCCTAGTTAGTATTAATGTATATCTGCTAGATTACAACTACCTTGTATTGTGCGGTGTAATTGATGTAAGCTATGTCTTGCGAAGAACGAACGAACACGCAGTAAGTTCATTAATTTGACGACAGCTACGAATACGTTGGTGGGCCCTAGTCGTAGTACTTGTGATAGTCCACAAGCTCACCAAGCTTCTTGTGGTTAAACCTGGTCCGATTAGCTCCATCCCGAGGTTTTTTTTCCATCTGCCATGCGGATTTACCCACAGAATGTACTTCCAACCAAAGAATTTTAGCTTTTGTTGGTTGGTTCACCTTTGACATGGTGTCCTTGATGAGAATATCCACATTCGGTGATTCTCTTTGGGACTGGATGCGCCAGAAGTTCGTTGCGATATTTTGTAGCTGATGGCAGAGCAGTGGTGCTTGCCAAAAGTGTCGCCAGCGTCAGCGCTACGACAATGCGTAGACAAATTGGTAGTCGATACTGAGTTGGACATCGTTTCCTATGATTGATCACCTCATTCTACTTCTAGACCAAACTAGGCCGCTTCGCTTTAGGCTGGGAGGGCAGTGGCAACGGCGTAGAAGTATTTTGTTTAGTGCATCGCACACATTGTTCTATTTTCAATCATTCTAAGCTAAAACTAATGTTTGTTTTCGGAGTACCACTAACGTTGTAAGATCGAAATAGCAAAACTCTTAAATAGTAAAATATATCCCCGCGTAGGATGAGATGGCTATATTATACTGGGAATGCCGAAGAATGAGAGATGAACAGCCCCACTCCAGGATTACCGTCGGATGTATTTCTGCTGGGCTAGCAGTAAACCGTCTTTTGTCTTGTGCAATTGCATTTGATGTTAGCGATTGTATAAGAAAATAATGCGAAGAATTACATGCAGTCCGTCCACTAACTTGACGACAGCTGGGGTAAAAGTGAAAAAATGAGGTCACGCATTGAGCTAAGGCACTTTAGAGTTTGCCGTAATATTTGGCATAGTCCATGAACTGGCCGTGATTCTTGTGGCCATAAACTTCTCGCCCCATTAGCTCCATCCCGAGTTTCTTTCGCGCATCTTGAGTGGTTACACGCGTAAGGTATTTCCAAACAAAGAGTTTCAGTTTGCGAAATGTTGCTTTGTTCACCTTCGACGCGGTGTCCTTGATGATGATATCCACATTCGGCCCTCTCTCTTCGGTGATGACATTTTCAGGTGCATTCTCGTTGACTCTAAGGGTTCCGGTTTCTGCGGTCGCTGGTTTTGAATGCCGGAGGTTGCTTGTCTGCTGACAGTGGAATAGCAGTCCCGCTAGCGAAAAGTGTTAACACAAGCAGCAGTACGCAAAAGTATAGGCGCATTGATCTTGGTAGTCGGTCTGCGGTCGTCGGGGAGAAAACTCACTCTGAATTCTTGCCTGCCACACGAACCTTGATGATGGTGTCGATGGGGTTCGTAAACACATTTGCATAAGGAGCTGCAATGGGTAGATGGAATAATTAACGCTCTTGACGTTTGTAAACAGGGTGGGGGATGGGTAGGGTTTTTATTTCCACAGAATTCACTGCATAATATCTATTGTAAAATAGTCCATGATATGTACAACGCACCACAAGTATGTTCAGAATATTATTGTGAACATACTTGAAGTACGTAGTTGTGTACTCTCTACTTTTGTAGAAACTTCGCTGCTCTGCATGCTATTGTGTCCGTTGAGAACGAACCTCAATCCGAACAGGATTTCAACTTGGTTAGCAGTGCGTTGTACTTCAGTAAGCAAAGACCAATTACCCAAACCACGATGTATACAGTTACATGTAAATTCTTCAGCATACGAGCAATGTAGCAAACAGCTCATGACAAGGCTGGTCATGAGTTGACTCGAACAAGTGATTCAGAATCACATTAAGAGAAGCACCAGCGTTCCACATTTAACGAGTGCATTCATGTGCGCTTCGTACCAGTGAGTACAGCAGCACATGGTTAAGAAAATCCCGAATCTTGGGGAACCCGTTATTGCAACACTACCGCGTTGGAGATCAGCAACACTATAGTACTTGAAACTTGTATGCTGAATGTATAAAGGTGGAGTGAAACTCAACTGGAAGAAAAACAGCGCTATTCTAAGTCGGCCCCTTTGTTTCCAAGTTTCGTTAGGCGAATGCAGTGTTTTATTAAAAGCCAGCCATAAATATTTATTCTTATTGATTGTTTTTTGTCGTATTGCAGTATGCCTTCTTCTCAAAAGAAGCAGAGCGGATCAAACGACAAAACAATCCAGGATTTCGGGTCTGGACTTGCAGTCCATGACATCCTGTGAGATCACCTACTTACATCAGCTTTTCTCAGAGCTGCCTCGTCACACCTACACGGCTGTTAAGTGGCTCGAACACCGAGACAATGTGTATATTTCATGAGTAGTGTGCGTGCAAGACGTCCCCGATACACGTGCCACTGGAAACTGTCTGCAGGTCACAGATAAGACCAGAGCAGAACGAGATGTAATACGGAGTATTACTGCGTTGCCTGCACTTACTGTTCTGACAGCGCCAAATAAAATATTTTTTGGGTTTGTATTGGACTTGCGGGTCTTGTAAGATCTACCTTGCTGTGTATTGCAATATCGATGATACTTTAGAATATATTTAGCGAGACAGATATTGGACGCCAGGAAACTTCAAGTCTATTCAGACAAAAACCAAAGCACCAGTGACTCGGCGATGGAGAGATCCACCGCTGTAGCTAACCGCCTTGCGCAAGAAAATGCTTCGTGCTATGGATGCCGTAAAACAACATAAAATTCTTTTGTAAATCGATCCAAATTGGATATCATCGTCTTCATTTCGCTCTACAAGCCAAGCTGCGATTCATTCACTGGCTGTTATGAATTCAAGGAGCATTTGCTCTCCTCGCTGCCACTGTCCAAAGCAGCGCCTTTTGTTAAAGCCGGCAATGACTCATTCTTCTATTTTAACGCCCAGGCCTTTGAATTCGATTCTAGCACCTAGAGGCTTAAAAAGATCTCTGTGCAGTGGCTGTGCAGTGAAAATGACGGGCGGAAAATAACACTGAAATTTTTGAGCGTAAAACCGCTATAGGTGGGCGAGAACGGCGAGTAAGTATTGCTTCAATCCCCGTGGCAATTTTAATAGAGAATGCTGTGGTAATACGAAGAAATTCGACGCAAATATAAAAAAACTCATGAAAGTCGAACTATTGTGGTAAAACGATTTTGAGTTCTACTCTATCATTAGCAGCTCAAACAAGAAAAAATGATTTTTGTCTTCTTGTCTTAGAAGTTACATCTTGAATGCATGGAACAATCGTGCCAGCAGCCGCGAAGATCCTGCATGCAGTGCGCCCATCGTTATAACGCCAGCTAGGGGTAAGTCGGTGGATCTGGGCCGAAATATTTGCGATAGTCCTTCACCTGGTCATAGTTCTTGTAGGAATAAACTTCTCGCCCCATTAGCTCCATCCCGAGTCTCTTCCGCGCCTCGTGCTTGCTTACCCCGAGAAGATACTTCCACACAAAGAATTTCACCTTGCGAAATGTTGCGTTGTTCACCTTCGACGCGGTGTCCTTGATGATAATATCCACATTCGGCCCTCTCTCTTCCCTGCTGGCATCCTCAAGTGCATTCTCGTTGACTCTAAGTTCCGGTTTTTGGGGTTGCTAGTCTTGAAAGTCGGAGCCTGCTCTTCCGATGACAGTGGAATAGCAGTCCCGCTAGCGAAAAGTGTTAACACAAGCAGCAGTACGCAAAAGTATAGGCGCATTGATCTTGGTAGTCGGTCTGCGGTCGTCGGGGCGAAACTCGAACTGAATCTCTCTCCACCACACGAAAATGATGAAAACTCGGTGTCCGTAAGCAGAATGCAATTATGTCAATCTCGGAAGGGGCGTACGGTCTTCCCTTGTTGTGCATTTGCTGCTTTTTCTCGAAATTTGGAGGCGGTGGTTGTAGAGGCTCTAAGTACGCAGCTAGTAGACTCCGCACTTTTGCAGCGTTCGTCTGTATGCCGTCAAAAGACCGTCGAAGGTCTTAGCCCACGGGCTGGTTTGCAGGACCAACACGGCAGCTGACAACCCCTGGCTTCTTCTCGCTCATTGTGAAGATCTGGTAGCGCTGCACCCCCAGATTCTTGTAAGCCTCTTTGACGGGCGTTCGGAACAACTTCATCATCGTGTTCTCTTTGGGAATATGGACAAGGGCCGAGCTAGACGAGGAGTCGTTGATAACCTCGAGCAGCTGATCAGCCGTCCACACGTCCTCCTTAGCAATCTTCTTCCTCATAAGGCCGAAGCCACGGTCAACAGCGTTCTTGGTGTGGCCCTTCACGAAAAACTTGAGCTCAACGACATCAAGTTCTCCAGTTTGAGCTAAAGCCAGCAGCATCTTAACAACGAAGTTATTCTTGTTTTGGCCACCGCAATTGTCAGCGTAGATAGCGAGTCTTCGATGGCCGTTCGTCAGCACGATCCGCTGGATGAAGTGATACAGCATGCTGTTGACCTCGTCCGTTCCTTTCCCAGCAACCGATTCTTCGTAGACGTAGTTGTACTGTTGTCCCTTGTTAGCGTAGTAGATTCCAAAGACGTGAACGTTCACAAGAGACAAGAAATACCACTGAGACGGCGTACTGGCGACGCTGGGAAGGGTCAGGTTTTGACTGAAATCCATGACGCTAACTGCGTGATCCTCCGACACGGATGCCAGGTCCTTCTTGTACTCCAGCCTAAACAAAAAGTTCGCAGTTAAACAAAATGATCTTTGCGTCCCATCTCAAACAAAATGATTCTTGCATCCCTACCTCATCTTCTTCGCGGCTTCAGTGTGGACGCCTAGCTCCTCAGTAAGCTCCGCTGTGATACACGACCACATGCGTGTGTGCAGGATAGCACACAAGTCACAAACGTTGCTACGAGGAGACCTGATCCGAATAGTCGGACAATACTGCTGCAGGACCTTTCGAAACGTCGAAGGGCGGTGTTCACGTACATCCAGGTCGTTCTCGAGAACGTGTCTTTCCCCAGTTCCCCGAACTGCTTCATTAGCATCGCCAACGAAGTCAGAACGCTCTGCTTCTTCTCCTGGGCGGTCATGTTTGATGTCGAGCGCAGGAAATCCTATGTCACTGTGGCCTTCCGGATCCGGTCTCAGCAACCCAAGCAGCCTTCTTTCACCAGAAAGGGCAACGCCCTGCTCGGACGACACACTAGGGCTTGTATGACTGCTGGTGGGTGGTGCCGGAGTGGAGGAGGTGGCCGGGCGCATGTCCATTGTTCGGTTGAGTACAAGGTCGCTTTCGATACACCTCGAGAAAAAATGGGTATGTGTGGGAAAAGCCTCTTTTTGCAAAACTTCATTTAAGTCCGAATTTCACTCGCCAATCTTTAAAGCCGTTTTTCTCGATAACTCCAAATGGTTCGTAAGGATCAGTTCGTTTGACGCCGTCTCATATGAACAGCATCCAGTAGGGGTCCCAACGTTACTACTTAACCTCAACTTCAATTTTGAGGTTAATCATAGGTTGAGGTTAGCAATCAACGGTTATTAACGTCACAACCACTCATGTGGTCCACAAAACCGTAAAATGGAACTCTGTGAGGAGGAAGGCGCCGACGACCTGAATCTACGCTGTTTGAATTGATCAGTTAAATGACACCGTGTCGAGTGCGTAAAAAAACTTGTGGAAATCGAGGTCACCTGCCCCATGTATATTCATTGAAGACGATGTAGACCCTGGCGTCACACGATATGAATGAGTTGTTTGGATTATTTCCTCAAGAGCGGTCTCATTATGATTCTCTTCCAGTAGTTTCGTGGTCCGGTTACGCTGTGAAGGACAGCTTGCACTTCACATATTCGTTGTGGAGTGGCGATGAGGACGATTATCAATTCAGTTATTCGCTTGGCGTTCTACATCCTACTCTTAAGCTCGGATGAGATCAGCCTAGTGACGCAGCTTACGAGTGAAGCGCTTTACGTTAGATGATCCGGCTGAATTCTTGGATTCTACAAGTGACATCTACTGAAAATGGTTTTCGTTCTGCTCGGACTGGGCAATGTTACTGCTAATTGGTACGAACACACCCAATTCTTCGCAGCTCTCAGTAGTGAAGACTTGCTTACGGATGAAACTTCGCTCTACAGGAAGATGTCATCGTACGTTTAGTACATCGGTGTACGCGAAATGGTCAGCCACTGGCACCCCTCAGCATTTCTCTTATCAGGCCGGTGAGAACATTGTCTCTGGAAGTGACGTCGATCGGTAAGAAGGAAACCATGGAGGATAGCAACAACACACGCGTAGAGAGCTCTATGACAAACAGGATTTCTTCGTACAACTGCAATTCGATCATTTGCTCAAAGCGCTTACCGATTGACTGAAATACAAGCTAAGTATTCACATGGACATTTGCGTGCAGTACCTCACTGGTTTTCTGCGATGAAAACGAGATCGCGCGCAAGACTTGGATCGAGTTGACTGCGCTTAGTAGTCACCGTATTGCCAGCGGTCGAGAATGCTCGCTCTGACGGAACGGAGGTGGCAACGCACCCGAGCCACTTCCGTGCGAGAGGGCTCAGTATTAGATATTATAGGCGATTAACAGACCACCACTTTAGCGGATTCTGCTTTCTTTCCACCGACTTCGCGTCGTCAAGATATTGCTCGAACTCTGTCTTGCATCTTGTTCGAGTCAGTTGGAAGCCTGAAGACGCATCGCGGACGTCGCCACAGTCGTCGTCACCGAGGACATCATCCCAGACATCAGCTGTGCTATCACTTGGTGATCGAAATGGGGCGGCGACAGGAGCGCCGGATGAACTGGTTGACTGTTGTCCAGCTTGCTCTTCCACGACAGTAACTGCAGCATCAATCAGGCATCGTTTTGCCAATCGCACTTCAGAAGTTTGAAGAAGCTTCATTTTGTGAAACCTTGGGTCCAAGTATGTTATCCACAGGAGATTCGTGTCCAAAGAAAAAATCTCGCTATGAAAAGTTGGAGAATCGCAGCGCGAACCTTGAGCATGTGTTCGACCACGCGGTCACGATACTCTTGCTCGCCGATTAACGCAGCGGCGTCGTCGAAGATTCCAGGCCTACTCAGCTTTGCCTTAATAATCCTCAGCATCGGAAACGTCAGTGCTAGTGCCGGATAATTTTCCCCCTCTAGTATTGTGGTCACGGTTGCAATCGGATTCAGCAGTACAAGTAAACACTTCGCCGTGAACCACTCGGAGGGTTTTGGCCTCTTCTCAGAACTGAGATCCGGAAACTCTTTCTTGCCTTCGCCATTCAATAAGCGGCTGGAGAAGTGGTCCAAAGCAGGCTCCAGCTCAACCATTTTTTCTGGATTTCATCAAGCCGATGGGTTCCTTTCGATGACTTGTGGAA